TTGAACTTCAAGACTTATTCATAGACAGCACTTAGCTCTGACTACACGTTCCTGAGGACGTGTGACCACCTTTAACATTCGCCTCTAATGTTCGCATGTTCATAACTCCTTTCAAAAAAAAACGTTTAGGTGAAGAAGACTTTTTTTTGTTGGCACTGGTTTTTTGTTGCAAGTGAACGCTAAAAGGACGGATGAAATAAATTTGCAAACGTGGAACATTGGTTGTAAACGAAGTGATGTTGTAGCGTGGAACTATAGGAAGGGTGGAGAGGAAGGAAGACCGAAAAAGAAATAATTAGAGTATTTACTTTCATTTGCTTCCCAATAAGATCGATATGCGACTTTGATGCAGACAAGTTACTCAGTGACCAAGGCAGAAAGAAAAGGCTAGTGTGGTTATCTTTTACAAATAATGCTCAATGGTAGCCTCTGCAGAATATTCTCCAGACCACACAATCAAATTCAAGATGATTTTTGCTTATTTGGAAAACAATGATCTTCGAAAAGTCATTTGTACCTGTGTTGCATTCCTATTAGCGTAGTTGACGCAAGCATTGTGCGACTGGTTCAACCACTGCCAAAATAATAACGTCGGCCAAGATGGATTCGGCAGAAGCATCCCTGTCACCTTAATCGTTTCTAAGCTCGCGTAGAGTCAAGTTCGTGAGGAAATTAAAAACAAGTAAACTGCAAATTTCTTATTTCAAAGAGAATTGGCTCTTACAGTGATCCAGCCAAAAGGAACAAATCCGCTCATCCGAAAAGGAGGTAGGACTTTTTCGCCAGTGTCCGGATGCAATATAGCTTGTTTTATCTGCTGGGCTCTCCATAGCGTTTTGTCCGAAGCCGTCGCCTTTCCCATTTTGAAATCGTTCAACAGTTGAACACATTCACGAAGACGTTTCTGACACAGGAGATGCCATTTGTGAAAATTTAAAAAAAACTAACGTCATAAAATGTACCTCTGATACAAACAGAGTACTAGGATCAATAACATCCAAATAGTGAAGGTACCTGAAAGAGCATCAATTAGCAGTCAAACGGGCACTTTCTCAAAATTTTTTGGTCATCTCCTAGGTCTCCACAATGCAATATCATACCTTCCCAAAAACGTTTCTTGAGGAAAGCGTGGTTGGTTTAGTCGAAATGGCGGGTATTTCGGAAAGCCAAATAGCGTTTCTATAGGTTCTGTTGACATCTGAGGACATATATTGCTCTGATTTTTAAAATCTGTTAAAGGAAGGACCACGAATGATGCATAAAATTCGACTCTGATGATTTATGTGAAAACGAGTGTCAATATAAATCATAACCTTAATTAAAGACAAATTACCGTCACCAGTGGTGTCTCATCCAACGACTTCATACTTTTTGATAAGTTTTTTTCGTACTTGATCGAGAAGCATATTGAGCAACCTAATTTAAAGAGGAGTTTTCAAAGAGGGGTAAAGTGTTTCACTTTCTTGGAGCACTAATCTCCCTTCTTCTTCAATCACGTTGCTCATTGTTTAGACAAGAATTTTTATCCACGCTTTCTCCTCTTATGTAGAGTCTGCTACATAAGAGGAGAAAGCGTGGATAAAAAATTCAGTTGTCTCCATATTTCGGGTGAAAGCGAAGTGTTCTCTTATTCTTAGTTCGCTCCTTTTTTTATACTCGCATTTCCCAATTACGATGAGTCTGCTGTATGATCAACTGTCTTCAGCATTGATTTAAGGTATGGTGTTCATCTACTCTCTGGAATCGGCTCTGATTCTGTCTATCCATCTCATTTTTGGCCTTTCTCGTGGTCTTTTCCTAGCAACCTCCAGAGGCATTGCCATCCTTGTGATTTGGGTCATCTCTTCTACTCATAGCCCTACCATCTCAGTCATTTTTCTTGCACATTCCTAAGACAGGATTCTTATCTTCGTGAAACTAAGCTTGTTTTCTTTATTTTGCTTACTTTACCACATTCACTGCCATAGAGCGCTGCTGGGTGGTCACAGTACGGTATAAGAATTTAAATAGTGGCATTTGCTTTTCACATAGAACTCCTGTGAATCGCCATTTATCCAGGCTGTGCTTTTAACCCACAGCTACTTTGAAGTTCTCCTTCGTCAAAGAGACAGCTTCTAGATACTTGAAAGTACTCGTCTTCTTGATTGGTTAATCATCGATGTATATGATTTCTGAGTTTTTGACCTTCCACTTCCATTTGTTCTATATTCTTTGTGCTCAGCTTCAGACTGTACAACTCTGATTGTTTCTTCCAGCTCCGCATCTCTTCTTCCATGGCTTTTCTGCTTTCTGTCAGCAACACATCAATTGCATGCAGAATTCTGCATACAGGATGCATCGCTGCGTTCAATGAGAAGAGAGTATCGATTCCTGATGTACGCCAATCTTTAAGAAATGGTTCTGATTACCCTGCCGCATTTCCACTTGGCAGGAGGCTCCGTGATAGATCATCTTTATTCAGTGAAGCACACTTCTGGAACTATGCGCTTCCGCAGTGCCCACCATAGACATCATGTGGTACCTTATCGAAAGCTTTCTCCATATCCAGGGAAACCACTCGCAGTTATCTCCTATTAATTAATGTTTTCCCAAGCTTGTTTTTGATGTGATAGAAGTGTTCCATATCTTTTGCGGACTCTGCTTTCCTTCCGAGATTCTGCAGCTCTTCTACATAGGCCTACTTCGCTTTCATTTGCAGTGCGTTTTTAAGATACACTTGTTGATGCTTATATGCTCGACTCTTTTTCTTTATCACAACCTCGTCGTTCCACCACCAAGCTTTATCAACTTTTCTTCCTGGCTTTTCGACCC